TCTCTTATGATGAAGGCTCCTTGTGATTTTTTTTAAATTTTTACTTCTATTTTTGCCAATCCAATTATATCCTTTAAAGTTCATAGAATCATTATTTTTTAAAAAGGTTTCCACTAAACCAAATATGCTGATATTGTTCTTGTAAATAAATGATTCGATTTCAGCTTTTTTGCTTTTAATTCCTCTAATATTAATAAAGCCAAAATTTACTTGATTTTCAGTTTCTTTTTTTGGCTTTTTACCCCTTCTAGACTTCTTCCGTTTTAGTTTATGAACGTTATTGTTAGTAGAATATTTAACTAAGTTTGAATTTTTGACATCAGGTTTATCTTTAGGAGAATTTTTTGAGATTCTTTCATATTTCATCGTAGTGTCACATTCATCATAAAGTATGTTATATATATTATTGTCAATATCATTTAAACTATTATAAATTTTATTATTATCGTAAAATATTTTACAAGACATATTAACATTCTCATTTATATACAAAACATTACCACACTGCAAATCCCTGTTTATTTCAGGTTCGGCATTTTCCTCATTGCCAATGGTCTATGGGTATCTGCATAGACCTTGATTTTGCTTGTGTCCCATTGCGTTACATGATCTACAGCGGAGAGGTTGTCCATGTCTACAGTGCTTTGTTGTGTGGTTACGTTCACCACAGTAGTAACAGACTTTAACTTGCAAGTTCCAATTTGTATAGTGATGCTTCCTTGTTTCTTTATTAGTCACTGTGTTGTTCTCAGGCTTTCTTCTCTGATCACTAATTATCTTGTGTACGTTGTTAATGTTGTTGATCAGTTTTCGTGTTCCATATCTGGTAAGGTGAAGACCACTTCTGTTCAAAGATGCTTTATCACATTCGCTATTTGCAAGTTTAAAGTTGCAGTCATTATCTACAATTTGGCATGCTTCCTTTTCTGCAATGCTCTTTAAGCTCTTGTTAAGGTTTTCTACTCTTGCCTGATGTTCATATTTGTCTACTCTTGGACAGATGGTCGATACAATTATTTTGGTAGCAGGTGCTTTAGCTTTGATTTCCCGTATCAGTGATTGATATTCTTGTGGTGCGCTATTTACTTGTTGGTCATTAACACAATTATTTGTGCCACAATGCAATACGACAGCTTTATAATTATCCAAATTTTCAGTTTTTAGTGTGTCCTTTATATCATTGATTCTAGCTCCTGGCAAGCAAGTAACTTTAGTTTGATCCAGGCCCTTCTCTGCAATATGCTTAATAATTGAGTCTCCAACTAAGAGTGTTTGCAATGGTTTCTTGTCACTAGGTGGTGCTGGTCTACCGTCCGACTGGTGATTAATGCTGTTGCTATTATTTTCTGTTGGCTTTGTCTGCGTTACATTAAGTAACATTTTACTTTGTGCATTAACAGTGGCCATAAGCCTATCATTCTCTGCTCTTAGGTAATCATTCTCCAGTCTTATCTGTCGGAGGCCACAATCAAGGTCATTGATAGAAGATTTCAAATCCGCAATTGTAGAAGGAAGTTTCTTGCATATCGAGCAAAACCATATTGCAGGTCTTCTTCCTAATGTATTTACACCTACACATTCTGGGTGAAACTCGCATAGACATAGGGAGCATTCCAGCAATTTTCCATTAAATGTTTTCACAGCACAAGTTGTAACACATCTATTAACATCCGGGGTTATTGAAAGAGAGGCAGACTTGGGACTCATCGATGATACTGACATAGATTTGGGAGATGAATTTGGAGTTGTAGGAGCCTTGCTCACTTTACGTTTACTGTTCGTCATAGTTGATATAAAATTATAGCAAATTTAACCACAAATAAAATTTACTGGCCTATCCAAAACAATGCAATGTGTTCATCAGATAACAAAGCCAAGCTTCTTTTAGAAGGCCAAGCTTCCTTTCCAAACAATGGTTGTTTATCAGGCTCTGATAAGCAGCAGTATCTCTGGCTTCAGTTATAAAAATGAGGCTTCCAAAATGGTAGTTGGGCCTAGCTTTAAATAATGAAATACAGATTAACCAAACCTTCAATCCAGCTGAATTGTGTATCCTTCAAATCTGTAAAACACCTTCTTTAAAATGACATAGTTTTCACAGCCAAAACATACCTATATTTTGTAAAATTCAGAGATTTTAAGACCACTAAGCACAAACCATGTGCATTGCTCTGAAGCGCCCTCAAACCTTAAAATTATTTGCTGGTAATTTAAAAAAAGTATAATATTTACTCACCATTTTATGATGGATTTAATATTATTATTAAAGAAGTCCATTCAACAAACAACATAAAACATATACATATTAAAGTTATTAAGTTAAAGTTCTTATGTCAGTGCATGCATGAAACGTAATTTCCTAAAATTTGGATATCTGATAATTTAACGTGTGTGTGTTTAACGTTTAATGATTTAAGGAAATATATATGTACATTCAGATACGCAATGTTTAGTAGGTTAGAAGTTTAAAGGAGAGGATTTCCTTATGTTGTGGTCATATTAGACTACTAATATCATTAAAAACCATTCAACATAAAACACATCAAAATTGTTGAAAAGTTGAACTTTCTACTTTGGTGCTTGAATATAACGTAATTTTGGGATATATGAGATTTACATAACATTTTAGAATGTACTGAATATAAAATCTTAAATATTTTACATTTTAATCAGCAATCTATCAGAAATATGGGGATTGGTTACTTTACTGTACTGTAAAGTTTTCAGAGCCACTACCTATTTTTAATTTTATTTGAATTCTTTTTATTTTGTATGATTCATGTTATATTTTCCACAGACAGATAAATAAATGCCTGAACTGATATTTTATGAGTTTCAGATTACTTACTATACAAAACAGATATCATAAATCATCTATTGTCCGACTGTGTGCACTGAACATTTGACTCTTTCTGTTATCTCATCTTCACATGTCGTAACAATACAAAAATATTAGAAACCGGCCCTGGGATTGAAAAGCAAAGGACTCCATTCAAAGAACCAACGATAAAGTGAAAAAAAAAAAAAACAAAAACAAAAAACAGGTAATGAATGAAAATAAAGCCAAGAACGATTAAAGAGCACTGAATCAAAACAACAGTGTTAATTAAAAAAATCCAAAAAATATATTATTGTGTTATCAGTATGTAGACTGCACGCAGACAAACATTTTGAAACATTAGTGAGTCGAACTGTAACATGTCATGGGCTTGCCACTTCTCTGTTATTAATGTTCATCTGAGAGCAAGCTACACACTGATGGTGCAACAATTTTTCATTCGTTGAGGTGTGGGCAAGATCATTTGTGATTGTATGTTTTCTTTGCTTATATAATGTTACAATCACCAATATTAACACGAATTGAAAAATCATAGTTAATGTGGCTAGTGTAGTAAATACAGACTTATTTAATGAGTTTGGGCTCAAATCATCATCAAAACGACCCACTTCATTATCAATTTCTTTCGCCGAAGTCAAATATACTTCCTCAGTTGGTGACAGTGGCTGTTCTATTTTATTGCTGTCTAATCTATTTAATGAACCTTTTTTTAAAATAATCTTGTGAACTCGTGGAACCTTTTCACCGACTACATACATTATGCATCCTAATTCTGCATAGAGTTTAGCTCTGAAAACCACCTTAATACTAATGTGTGTTTTATTGTGTACAACTTGCATTGGCACTAATTGATCTAACCAATAAAGCTTTGCTGGTGGATTGGTCTTCTGAGTTACACACGTTGCCTGCGTGGTATTGTAATCAAGATTTAAAACAGTGATGATTGGAAAGTCGAGGCTTGGTATTTCTTGTACAGACACTACGCATCCAGCGGAGCTTTCAACGTTTAAGTCTGAATCAATATCATTTAGCAGGCACCGGTATTCGCCTTCGTCTGTTCTTTTTACGTCGCTGATATTCAAATACGTTCTAATAACTGCCCCTTTTGTAGTTTCGATGTAGTTGGTTGTTATGATTACTCCTGATTGACCAATTATATTGATATTTCCTCTTGTCCAACATCCATCATATTCCCTGTTCGCACTACAGTAGAATTCACAAGACATAGACAACACTTGGTTTTCTAATACCGTCATATTGGAATTCAGGGCTGAAATTAACGTACAAGCGTTACCCAACAGGGCAATTTCAGATAGTGCTATAACAATCACAATATAGATTGTAATATATTTTTTCTTATTATTCATGATAGATTCAATCCTCCTGAATGAAATAAATAAAAATAAATGTTATACGTGCATGAGTCAAAAGATTCCCTTTCTTTACAAAGACTCAGGTGGCATGGACTTAAGCTGGTAAGAGAGAATGCAGCATGGTAAAGAAAATCTTGATTTGATGGTAAAAAATTCCTTTTGTTGCTGTTGTTTGTTGAGTCCTAGAACATCTAACAGAGTCACCACGGGAAGGTCAACAGCTTGACCCCATGTCTGTAAATAGAAATGGTTAAAAATAACGGCTGATTGACAATATATCATTATCGTTAGAATATCAAAATTTATTGTGTTTAATTCTGAACCATGCCATTTGTCTATTGTCAAATTAGCTGCATGAGTGCGAGTGCCACTATAATACAATCCTAACATATTTTTGTAGTACAGGTATTCATTTTTTTATGTGGCGATAGTGTCCATTGTTATGCGACATATTTTGTAAAATCAGTTAAGATGAGTACACTGGATACCGATGGTCCAGATCTAACTGTTTCATGAGGATCCTTCATGGAGACAGCAGCGGAGTATTGTAAATTGATTACAATTAGATTTTAAAAATTGTAGTATCCTTGGACAAAGAAGTATTGCTCGTGTTTGTTCTTTTTGTTATATTTAAAAGAGCAGAACGAGAAGAAAGCGCTGAACACCTCGAAAAATGGGAAAGCAGGGGGGGGGGGGCATCGGGCATTACTAAAGAACATTTCATATCATCACAGCATGGAGTAGAAGTATTATATCAGGTGGAAAATAATATTATGAAAGGAGCCAGTATGCCGGATGATTGGAAGCTAAGCATCTTAATACCAATCTATAAGGGAAAAGGAAGTGTGATGGATTGTGGTTCATATCGTGGGATAAAACTACTGGAGCAGGGTATGAAAGTGCTAGAACGAGTTTTGGAGAAGAGATTGCGAGATATTATCAAAATTGATGATATGAAGTTTAGTTTTATGCCAGGAAATGCTATCTTCATTGTGAGAAGGATGCAGGAATGTCATCATGATAAAAGGAAGAAACTGTTTATGTGTTTCGTAGATCTGGAGAAAGCTTTTGATAGAATACCACGTTCTGTTATCGCTTGGGCATTACGTAAAAGAATGGTTCCAGAAGGTGTGGTGAAATATGTCATGGTACTGTATGAAGAAGCTCACACAAAAATCAAATGTGGTAATGGCTTCTCAGAGAGTTTTAGCGTGGGAGTAGGTCTTCCACCAGGGTTCATGTCTTGTCACCACTGTTGTTCGCAATAGTAATTGATGTCCTGACAGAAGCAGTAAAGAAAGACACATTGTGGAATCTATTATATGCAGATGAACTGGTGTTGATGGCTGAGTCTATGGATCAGCTAGAGCAAGATTTCAGGAAGTGGAAAGAGGCCTTTGAAAGTAAAGGCCTGAAAGTTAACATGGTAAAGACAAAAGTGCTGGAAGCCAGTGGTGGTATACAGGTGGTAGAAGAGGCCAAAATAAACCCATGTGGTGTATGCGGGAAAAGAGTTATGAGCAACTCCATTAAGTGCGGACTATGTGAGAAATGGATTCATGCAAGATGTGCTGGAGTCAAGAAAGTGTCTAGTAAAATGGCGGAGAGCTTTAAATGCAAGAAGTGTAAGAGAGACAAGAGTAATGAGGCTGAAGACCAGGTGGTGGAACAACAAATGCAGGAGATTGGGAGAGTGGACTGTTTTTGTTATCTTGGTGATACACTTAATGGTGGAGGCGGTTGTGAAATTCCGGTGGCATGGAGAAGTAGGGTTGGATGGTCTAAGTTCAATGAGCTGGCCATGGTACTGTGTGGCAGAAGGTTATCATTGGGAATAAAGGGTAGGATTTATAAAGCCTGTGTAAGATCAGCAATGGTGTATGGTGCCGAAACATGGAACATAAAGACAACTGAAGAGGGAATTTTGAGAACAGAAAGAGCAATAAGAAAAATGTGTGGTGTTAAGCTGGCAGAAAGAAGGAACACAAAGGAGCTTATGGAACGTCTAGGTCAAGTGAAACAATTGTGAAGGTTTTTATGAGGAGTTGCTTGAGATGGATGGGTCATGTGCTAAGAAAAGACGAAGGTGATCCAGTAAAAAGAGCCTGGCATCTAGAAGTTGAAGGTAGAAGAGTAACGGGGCGGCCAAAGGTGACGTGGAAAGATATGGTGAAGAAAGAAAGTGCAAAAATTGGAAGACAGGAAGAAGTAGAGATTGTGTAGCTGCATGGAACGAGTGACAGTCAGTAACCCCTTGGAAGAGGGAAGAAAACTAACTTAAATAAATGATGATGATGATGAAATACCTAATGAAATTGTCTTCTTTGAGTATATGTTTACTGATGATACCTAACCCAATAGCAAATGTAAGTGCATTTGTAGTTCAGTCATTTTGAACTTAACCTATTGCCTGAGGATTAACAAAGTAGTAAAATATCTGAATATAATATGCCGTTGACGGACATTTGAATTTAGCTGTTTCAGTTTAAATTAAACTGCAATAATCACGCACAAATTAGTTTTAATGAAACCAAGAGGTCATTTAAACAATAATAATTTGTACCTTAAGAAATATACAGTATTAGGTTTCTTAAACGAAAGAATAACCATTATTTATAACTTCAGTTAAAACTCATAATATATTATTAATAATATATATTTTCCATATATATTTGTGTTAAGATACATAGTTACCAACCGTCTCGCATCGTGCGGACGGTCCTGTATTTCAAAATGATTTTGGATGAAACGCGCATTTTGCAGAAACATAGGATGCGTGATCATAAATTTGTCACACATTAAGCACAAGTCTGCATGATAACGAATTATCACGAATTCGGCGGAAAAAGTATTTAAAATTAAAAGAAATCGGTTTGTTTGTGTACACAATCTTATCTCCGTGTCTTCTCCATCCTCGAGTAAATTACAACACCTTAATGCAAGTCCAAGTTCATTCCCAAAATTAAACATATTATTCCTTTTATTCAAACTCATTTTGTATAGTGGCTTATTTAAAACGTATTATGTGTACCATCCATTGTAGTTAATCAAAAGTAGTGTCATGAAATAAACAGCGTAGGCTGATCACTTTCAAACAGCTTTAAATGCTTTTCGGAGCAGCGACCAAATCAGCCCAGACAACCACGCATTTAGTAGTCTAGAAGGCCCGTGCGGTCTTACGCGTCATTGTCACAACTAATCAATAATCTTTATGATCACACAATAACAAATTTTGACGGTAATTATGTGTTGTAGTTCCACATTTACAGTGAAATAAAGGGGCGTTAATTTGAGTATAAGTATCCATTTTAAACCAAATTAAAATTACTTACTCGCCACTGACGAAGGACTAGTTTTGTCCGGTTGTTAACTGACGTTTACTTTTTAGCTGTTGCTTATCAAATTTGTATTTCTACCGAGATCCAGCCATTGTTTCCCATAACATTGTTGCTTTTCAGTATTTTGACTTTTAATCTATGTATATATGTATATATATACATATATATACACTATATATATACACATATATACTATACTATATATATACTATATATATATAGCTCCACTATGTGTGACCATTATCGCAGATTGCAGGTTCAATTCCCACCAGACATATTTTTTTTTTTCATGAAACTATAATAAGGAACTTTCGTTGTTTGGTACGATTTACTGTATAATATTATTTTTGAGGACTGTATTATTAAATCTAATTTATTTTTATAAGCCACAACTTGATTGTTTTTAATATTATTTTCTATGATTTACCAGCAGCTACTTATAAGCTATTACATAGTTTAAAAATTGGCTCCTTTATCAAAAAAAGCAAAAACAATTTTCTCCAGCAAGCAGTTACATGCACTGCTCTCACCCCTTTCTACCGATGAAACACGTGTTTTGATGCGGCACAAACCTAGACTCTATTCTATTTCAATGTTGATTAATCTCGAAGTTTAGTGTAAAAGAATATATTTATTATATATGATTATCAGGCTCTTTAAAAAAGGTATTGTATTGTATACTGTAAAATATTGTTTTCTCCGTGTTATCCCTAGATTGCTGTTCAATGTTTTGCTTTCACCCCTTTTCAAACAGCGAAGCACATGTTTTGTTGCGTCGTTGATTAACCATGGACTCTACCATTCCATATGGGTTATTAATTTTATAATAATTTTTCAAAATAATTAAATTTAAAATGTATAATCATTAAATCGTTTTTAAACGCTTGAATGTACCAAATGACTATGTTATTTCACTACAAGGATATTAATTTCATTTATAAAACGCACTGGTAATGTATACAAGTAGTTTTCAATTGTTGATACGCGACGGCGTATCAAGTGGACTCGGAACGTCTTCCTTGCAGTGTACTGCATCGCCGGCTGGAAGTTTAGGGCCTGTGGTTTTGACATACTCTATATTCTATCAGTAAAAGTTAGACGCTTGACTCTGGTCCTGTACTCAATGGGCTAAGGGATATTTACTGAATTACGATCTCTTAACGTATTATCATTATTTCATTCTTTAAATTGCTTTTTCTATCCATTGATTTATTGTCTATAATTTGTTCCGATATAATAGTTGGGAATAACCTTGCATTTAAAATATATTATGGTAGGCCTATATCAAAAATAAGTGTACAATAGTCCTACTATTTGTAGTCCTATTCATAATAAAGTACAGTGACCGCCAATAATTACTCAACATATACGATGAATATCAGAATTTAGTGCAGTAGGCTAAGCTAGGGTGGCATTATTTTTTCCCCATTTTCATTCATTCTCTGTAGGTCATTTTGATCCAATGACCGGGGTAGTAATGTGAAGCGCTTAGAGGCATTGTGCATGAAGCGCTATATAAGAGCGACATATTATTATTATTTTGAAAACAGACATTGGGCCTGGGTGTAGAGGAATGGCGTTTTCGGATACGGTAGCCATTTTTTGGCCTAAATTATTGTTGTTTAGCTTCCAAAATGGAAAAAAAACCCCCAAAAAACAAAAAAACCACTAAATAAAAGTATTGTGTTTAGATCAGATTATCATACAAGCATATACAAGCGACTGTTGTACACACACAGTAGATCTTGATTAATTAGGCCTATGTTCATATAATAAACTGTTTACGCTAATTAACTTTAATTTATGTTCTACTGAGTGAGCTGTTCTTGTTTGATTTTTAATTTCTCTTTGTCATTTCAATTAATTGTTGTCTTTATTGTAATTTATTTATTTGTATCGTACCAAATCCATTTTCAAATATATATAACAAATATAAAATATAATTGAAAATGAGACTTAAAAGAAAATAATAAATACAAGATTTAACTGCACACAAAAATTCAGAGACTGATATTTTCTTAGTTTATTCTATGCTTTTTCATGGTAACGTCGAGTCGTTATCACTGGGCGCCGTACAAAGGGTACGGCTATGCATCGGCCCGCAGCAAGATCAATGATCCTTAATAGTCAATTTCCATAGCAGCAGAACCGTGGGACTGTTCCTATAAATAGTTCTAGAAGAAGCAGGTACTGGCATTAAAGTGCGTTTATCCTGTCATTACGAATTTATTCCTCCATGCTCATGGAACAACATGAGTTTGGCCTGGTCGGCGTACAAAGGGTTTGAGCTATGCATAACTCGGCAGGCAGCAAGATCAATGACACGTACACTTTGATTCAGTCTGTATTTCCATAGCAGCAGAGCGTGGGAATGTTCCTATGAATAGTTCTAGAAAAAGCAATATACTGGCATTAAATTGCGTTTATACCATCAATATTCATGGCAAAAACATGAGTTTGGCCTGATTATAATACAGTATAAAAGTGTATAGGAAATTTCAGTAGGTTTCGAGTCTTGGTATTCGACATTTCGGTTTTAAATTTTACAGAATAGCTCAATAACAAATGACAGGATATAGTATTAAAATTATTTCATAATAACGAATGAAACTTATGACAAAACATAGAAAAGAGACTTGTCGATAAATTACAGTACATCAAAATCACGAGATAAACCGACGCAAACAAGTAGAAGAAAAACATCGGAAAACGAACCCTAATTCACGAAATGGAATCGTCCAACATTTTTGATCAGTATCTTGAACCACTTAACTCGTCGGCAACTAGACTTGCCACAAGTCTCTAATTTATGGATTTTTCGTAGTACATTAGCGCATTTCGGAAAGCGCCACCAGCGTCAGTTTATGTTGAGAAACTTTTTTGATGAGAATTAGAGACTTGTAAAGCCCCTCTCCCACTAGGGGTTTTTT